CCCCTTTTTTTTTTTTTTTTTTTTTTTTGTTAATTAGGTCCTACGAATAATTTTTTGTGTTAATTAGCAGCTATATAAGCATAAAAGCAAGCTCGAAAAGGCATGCTACATCCTGATAAGTAGCCGCATGGATGACAAGTAATACTTATAGGGGTTGTTAGGAGGTGCAAGTGCTTCTTACCTTAGGTGGTTAGAATATGCATGTTAGGACCACATAAGAGTAACTTTGGATGAGAATGCATTGTATGTATTATATGGAAAATCATCGAGATGCCCCTAGTATAAGATTTTGGGATGCATGTTGTTTTTTATATTTTTTTTTTGTAGAGATAGAAAGAGTTTTCCACAAACCATTGATCTTTTGTTCAAGTCATAGCAACAAAGATCTACCTTATCAAAATTTGATTGGCTAAACATAAGAAGTCGGGAAGTTTTGCCAAAATTTTCTTTAAGGCCTTCAAAGATAAGCTTGCTTAACTTGAATTTTTTATATTTGATCTCAAGGGTTTAGAAATCATCGTTAGATCAAACCTCAAAGATGGAAGATCTCATGAAAGAGGTTCAACCGATAATAACAACATTGAGTTTCAACACTTAAGTCACTTTCAAAGAGTTCAAACATAGTACGCCATATTTTCATCAATTTAACACCATGTTCATCATTATCATATTTCGTGCGTTCCAAACCATCAAACCCCATAGGATAGAAAACAAAATACAAGAATATCCATAATCACCCATCCGATTTCGTATCCTCAGTTCTTCGAGACTTTGTCGAAGATTGGATGCTTGTTGGGTGATACTACAAAAAAGACTAATTAAGAGGGAGATGAAGCCAATGAAGATTCTATTCATGAATTCATATAGCTTATATTGAGGAATGTTTGGGAGAGAAAATCCACATTGTTTAATTAAAAGGATGATTATGGATTTATAAGTAATGAATACCTCTCCATTGGTATGAGGTCTTTTCGAGAAACTAAAAGTAAAGCTATGAGAGTTTATGTTCAAAGTGAACAATATTATACCATTGTGATTTTCGTAATTCCTAACATGATATCAGAGTCATACCCTTAACTTAGTCATATCAATAGAATCCCAAATCGTCGAACAAAGAAGTTGTGAGCCTCAAATGTGTTGTCAAAAGTGACTCAAGTGTCGAACAAAGAAGCTATGAGCCTCAAAGTTGTTGTCAAAAGTGACTCAAGTGTCGAACAAAGGGTGTACTTTGTTCGAGGCTCCAGAGAAGGAGTCGAGTCTCAATTAAGAGAAGGATGTTCGAGGGCTCCATAGGTCTTAGGGGAGGCTCTATGGTGCACTTTGTTTAAGGACAAAATTGTTGGGAGAGGAGTCCCACATTGGTATGAGATAGTTCGGGGAAACTAAAAGCAAAGTCACGAGAGTTTATGCTCAAAGTGGACAATGCCAAACCATTGAAGAAAAACGGCACGAGTATAAATAGGAAATGGTTTAATACTCTATTCCATAATGTAAATTGATTATTCTCTCTGTTTTTTTTTCCTTGCTATAACTTATATATCTTAATTTGGGTGAGGTAATTTTAGAGATGGGAGAGTGAAAGAACGAGAATAAGAGGGCGTTCTAAATAGACTTTCTAATCTTGACTTCTTGAACTACTGGTTAAGGTAATCATTCATCTCCCGGATCGGTTCATTTAGAGAATGAATCTGATCGGAATAGGCAGGGAATTGGTCTTTCCTTTCAAAGCCATTTTCCCTGTTACTGATAAGTCAAAAGAAGACTACCTTCAAAGGGCTTTATGCCTTTTTTTTTCAAGCGGAGAGACCTACATATGACGAAGATGCGAATAGAGATGCAGAAGTTCTTCAGTTAGAGGTGAAGGAAAAGCATAGGTTCAGGTTTCTTCTAATTTTCTTACTAGAGAGGAAAAGAGTGAAATGAAAGAATAAATAGGGAGAGGTGATTGAGCTTCTTTTTCATTTTTCTTAGTTTATAGTGAATAAATAGGTGAAGGTTTAGTAGTGATTGATAATTAATAAGGAGTTGAGTCTTAGTTTACTGTCTTTGAATAAATAGGTGAAGTAGGGAAAAAAAATAGAGGTTCCAGGGCAGGTGAAGGAGAAACAGAAGTTAAAGAATGACTCTTGAGGATTTACTGACAGTGAACTCTCATGAATAAGGAGTGTTTACTGTTTCATGAATCGAGAGTTGAGGAGAAGATCAAGATCAAGAAGGAATCTTGAGGATTTACTGACAGTTCACTCTCATTGATTCTTCGATAGTCTTGACTGATAGTGAACGATCATTCATAAGTCATGTTTACAATTGAGTAAAAGAGTGAAAGAAGTAATAGTCCTATTCTGTCTCATTCATAAGTCGTGTTTATAGGAGAATGAATCTTTAGTCTTGACTTCTTAACTACCTCGGCCCTAAATACCTCTCTTTTATCCCTAAAAATAGGGGAGGATAGAATTTCTTTTATTTCAGCCGCACCTATTAGTAAAAAACCTCTTTTAATGTTTTACCCCTATGCTGGATACAAAATATTTTCTTTCAGCTCTAGCTATTAGGGAAAAAGGTCTTACGAACTTTTACAGTCATATGGGATACAAAATAATCTTGAGAAGGGGTGCTCTCCTATCTTTTGATTAGGAAAGCGGCACATACCAGGGGGTAGCGACTGTTTATTGAAAACACAGGACTCTGCTAAGTGGTAACACGATGTATAGAGTCTGACACCTGCCCGGTGCTGGAATGTCGGAAGGATTAATGTTATAAGCTTTGAATGGAAGCCTCAGTAAACGGCGGCAGTAACTCTAACTGTCCTAAGCTAGCGAAATTCCTTGTCGCATAAGTAGTGACCTGCACGAATGGTGTAACGACTGCCCCGCTGTCTCCGACATGGACCCGGTGAAATTGAATTCTCCATGAAGATGTGGAGTACCAATGGCTAGACGGTAAGACCCCGTGCACCTTAACTATAGCTTCGTAGTGACAACCTTGATCGAATGTGTAGGATAGGTGGGAGGTGGTGACACACAAACACTAAATCTTTTATTTGTAGATTAGGTTAAGAGAATTTTTGGTGTCCCCTTGAAAACAAAGTCGGCCGCTTCATGTCGCATACCATTGCGCGGGCTTGGCAACCCTACTAGGGCTTTAACTATAAAGTGGGTTAGTATAATTTTTCTTGTGTTGTTTTTAGATGTGTACTTGTGTATTTTATCTCTCTTTCTATTGTGTACATGCACGTACACAGACCTCCTACCTGAACTTTACCATTAGGATTAGAATTGAGGATGAGTTGTGGCGACATTTGAGGAGTTAAATGTGATGACGGAGAATTAAGGAAAAAAATTTGTTCTACATCGATTAGGTTTTCAAAGTCGAAAGGTGAACTCTAATATAAAAGAAGGTCCCTTAGCTGACTTAGAGCTAGAGAATTCATATTCTCGTGGCTATAACTTGACTCATTTGATTTAGGTCTGATACGTTCAGATCCTTTAGTACCATTTTTTACTCTTCAAGATACGTCTTTTGACACTTTTAAAGACATTTAAAGTTAGTATGACTGATGGCTTACTAATTTAAATTACATATAGATAAGTTTTTAGATTATTTTTATGCAAATGAGGTGAGTCAATTACCATAATAGAATTCTAAATTATAATTGTAGGACTCCTTAGGTGAAATTTGAGTTCAATGATCAACTTTTTAAGCTAGCATCAAGGATGTGTAATGACCTTGTCTTAAACCAACCAAGTAAGCAGTTCCATTGTTGGACGCCCATGAACTTGGTTTAATGACTTGTATGTTGTGTGAATAACACGTACATTATGACCTTTGTACGTGTCATATTTTGTGATGTTATGATATTTGATGTGTGATATGTTATGTGACGATTTATGATATGATATGAGTTATTCTATAAGATGAAGGTTATATGATGTATGAACCTCCATATGTCACGTCATGTGCACTATGTTAGCATGTTTGAAGGGAATGAACTCTTCATCCACGTAACGGAAGCATTGGGAACTGTTTTGATTTTTTATTAAGAATTAAAACAAAGCAATAAATACGAGAGTAAGAACTCTACATTTGTAGAAACCCTAGCTTGCAAGACTCCTCGGAGTATTCCAACGATGCAGAAGTTCTTCAACATTCCACAAGATCTTCCTTACTATGACTCGAACACAAGGTGAAGGCTTGTGGGAGCCTCTTCAAAGAAAATCCCAAAGGGATTGGAGAAGAGAGTTTCGAGAATTCTCTGGGGATGTAATTTCATTCTTCAGAGAAAGTGGGAGAGATAGTATGTCTTTCGCTCAACCCAAGGGTCCTATTTATAGGGACTCTTGGAGAATATTTGCATATTTAATATATTAGAATATAATATCTTATATAAATCATATTTAGATATTATAAGATATTAATTTGAATCTTATTCAAATTTTAAATATATTTTTATTTAATATATTAAAATACTTTAATTGATTTAATATTTAATTGTATCAAATATAATAAATATATTTTTTATTTAATATATATTAAATCTTAATTTAAACCATTCAAATTAAATATATTTTTATCTATTTATTTAATATATCTAATATATTAAATATTAATTTGACATTTCAAATTAAATTTATTTTCTCCTTTATATTTAATATATCTAATATACTAAATATTAATTTGAACACTTCATATTTTCTTTCAAATAAATTGATTCTTTCAGGTTACCATGAGCTAGGCACCTTTATGCAAAATTAGTTCAATTTCAAAAGTTACTCAAAATTAGGCAAGGCAACCAAGGGAGCAGAACTCAATTTTTCTTTCAAAGTATTAAAAGCAAGTTCGTGATCTTTTTCGCATATAAAGGATACATTTTTCTTAACAAGTTCATTCAAAGGTGAAGCAATTGTACTAAAATTCTTAATGGACCTACGGTGGAAACTTGCAAGACCATGAAAACTTCTTACTTCACTTACACTTTTAGGTGTAGAATCTTTTAAAGCCTTCACTTTCTCCTCATCAACCTCAACACCATTAGATGAAACTACAAATCCAAGAAAATTAACTTTTTCCATGCAAAAGCTACATTTCTTTAAATTTACATACAAACATTCGTTTCTTAAAGTAGTCAAAACATTGCGTACATGGTAAGTATTTTCGTAAGACATGGTTCCTTAGTCTCATGAATGTACTAGGTGCATTAGTTAATCCAAAAGGCATAACCAACCATTCATAAAGACCATACTTGGTTTTAAAAGCTGTTTTCCACTCATCCCCAATATGCATGCGAATTTGATGATAACCCGATTTTAAATCAATCTTAGTAAAAAGACTACATCCATGCAATTCATCAAGCATATCATCTAATCTAGGAATTGGATGCCTATACTTTATAGTTATCTTGTTTATAGCCCTACAATCAACACACATACGCCAAGAACCATCTTTCTTAGGTACAAGAATAACTGGAACAGAACAAGGACTCAAACTTTCACGTACATACCCTTTAGCAAGGAGTTCACTTACTTGCCTTTGTATCTCTTCAGCCTCCTTTGGATTAGTCCTATAAGCTGGTCGGTTTGGAAT